CCAGGGTAAGAAAGTCCATGAGATTCTTATCTCCCATTAACCACCAGAAAATCAGAAGTGGTGCTGTGGCTAACATGGTAGAGTGCTAGTCTTGGGTTGAGGAGCTCTGGGACAGTATCCAGGCCCAGAGTTCAAGCCCCACAACCAACTACACACACACACACACAAACAAAAAGACTTGTTACCCATATTTAGCAGGAATGAACAATGCCACTAGGAGTGCTAAACTGCAATTGGTAGCAGAATAATTTTGGATCTAGCAGTGTTTGGGTGGGGAGAGGGGGTGAGCTGCTGAATTTGGCAGGGATTAGCTGCTGTTTTCTTTTACTGGATGGCATTATGCCTACAGCTTGCTGTCTTAGTATGAAGAGAGAGATCAGGAGGGCAGCCTTAAGTCTTGAGATCCCGCTCTGCCTCCTTAGATGGGAGGAATGGATAACCCTCTTGGGCAGGGCTGGACACTTGTCGGACCATGATTTACTAGTAGATAGCAGTAGCGAATATTCAAAAACAAATGCTAGCTTCTACCTTCTACTTTTAACCCGTCTGTGCTCAGACACAAAAGGCTTTTCTTGTGCCTTCCTAAGTTCTCATGCTCAGGAATGATGACATACAGGAAACCACAAAGGTGCGTTCAGCTTCTATACATACTGATATGCCACCAGTCCATACTTCCTGTAGTTCCTATCTTCAGACATTGATATTCTTCAAAGACTACTCAACCAGCAAAATGAAACTAGTAAATAAAAAGTATTTCCTACCAGGGCACTTGAGGCTCACACCTATGAGACCTATAAGATTTCAAGAGGCTAAGATGTGAAGATTGAGATTCAAATCTGGCCCTGATGGACAAGTTCAGGAGACTCTTATCTCCAATTAACCAGCAAAAATGGAGTAAATGGAGGTGTACTTCAGGTGGTAGAGCTCTAGCCTTGAGTAAAAAAGCTAAGGAAGATTGTAAGGCCCTAAGTTCAAGCTGCAGTGCTGGTATGCACATGTGTGCACATGTGTAGGCACGCATATCCGTGCACACACACACACACACACACACATATAGCCTCTGGAGATTAATATACCTCCATATTCAGTCATTGATCTCAGAATTTCTAGGCTATGGAGCCACCTAGGAAGCCCACAGGATAAGAAAAGGCTGAAGAGTTTGTTATTTTCTCCAGAGGCTTAATAATTCTTCTGAAATTCTTCTTCTTTTTCAAAGACTTCCTCCCATCTTGCCTCTGACTTGAGAGTAGGGAAAGGAAGTATGGAGGAATGTAAAGGGGACAATTTTTTTACTCACTTCTCAGCATTTTTAGGTAGTAGCTAACTGGCCAACAGGAAGACAGAGAAAGACACCCTTCTGCCCTCAAAGGCTAACTAACACCTAGTGAAGGGCAAGCAGGGAGAAACGAACAAGAGCTCAGTTTTTAGGAGAAAGCACATAGAGGAGCAGTCAGATCTGGCTGGCAGTGGGTAGGTCTGGAAAGGCTACTGAGGATGGCCAGTATGCAGACAAAGTGGCCAGTGGGAAGGGGTCTGCAGACAGGAGATGCATAAACACAGATGAGCACCTGGCATCACACGCCTGAGAGTGCAGAGCAATGCGGAGTGTGGAAGTGTTCCCTGCACTTGGAAAATGGGAGGTGGCTCATCCTGACTTGCTCTACAGTTATTTTTATGGAGTAGAAGGTAGAAGCCATTGCTGTGAACTAGAAAGAGTGAACAGCATAAAGGAAATAAAACAAAGAGAAGACAAAAGAAAGTGACAATAAGTCTAGGCTATTTCTTGGGTGCCATTTGCCTTTTTTTTATTTCCCAGGATATTAGTTCAGCTACAATAAACTCGTGTTTCACTAAGAAAATGACTCCTGTTCACAATACTCAACAGTCCATCTTAATTTAGAGCCTGCCAATATTAACTCAATGAATGACAAAAAATCAACCTTCATACTCTGCTACCACTAATTTTTCTTTCATGCAGTTAAAAACAAATACCACCTATAATTGTTAATAGTAGAAAAGTGCTTTATTTTTTTATATCATTGGTACATGATACATAAAACTGCCTAAAATCAGTCTTAAGAAAACACAACAGTTACTTACACCTTAAATGGTCAAAGACCAAGTCTACTTTGCAGCCTATTTCATTAATGATCAGATGACTACAGTAATTTCAAGTGCTAATAATTTCATGTCCCATGTTACAAATGGTTTTTATATTACAAGCACTGTCATTTTTCAATAAAAGTATCTTTTTATCATAGAGTATATGTCTATAAGAATGAATCTTTGCTAGTCTACAAGTCTTTGAAATAATGGAGCAACAGTTTTCCCTTGCTATGATTGTACTTATTGAACTGGGCTAAGGGGTGCGGGTGCCTTATACATGCAATCAGATTAATGCAGCTTTTAAAATGCAGATATGCATCCTATTTCTAGTTTAATTGCTAAATCAGCTTACTAAACTAAAACAGAGTCAATACAGTATTTTAGAAAACATAATCTAAAAGCATGCAACATCCAAAACAATTTTACTATTTATGTGAACCAAAACAAAAAATTCAAGCACAGGAAGAGGAAAGTGACAAAGACTTGTTACATGCAAGTTGTTTACACAATGGAAGAAAGAAACTAACAATGTAAATCCTCTTAAGAAAAAGTATCTGCCTAGGCTAGAGGCATGGTGCACTGGTGTGCCTAGCATGCGAGAGGCTGAATTCAATCCCCAGCACCATGAAGAAAGGAGTCAGGAAGGAGGCAGGGAATGAAAAGGAGGGTCAGGGGGAAAGGAGGAAAAGAGGAAGGAAGGGAGAAATGCAGGGGGGGGGAGTGGGAAGAACCTCTGTCACACAGCCAGACAACAAAACCAGACTTTCACTGACAAATTTGCAAATCATAAGAAGCTACATATATTCTTGCTCTTATTGACTCAATTTATTCTGCTCATGAACACACAGCTCTAAGATCTTTTATATCTGTTAATGTTAATGCCGAAGAGATTTCTCAATGGTACCTACCTTTTAGCCACTAATCCTTTAACAAAGAGATACATATGACTGGTGCTTAATAAACATTTGCCAAATTAAAAAATAGAATCTGGACTGATTCTCAAGGCAAAATGATTTATTACTTGAACAAATCCCTGGTATAGAAGACTACCCTGTCCTCTAAGGAGTTATATATATGCTAGATAGAACTACATGTCATGGTCACCTCATTGTCTGAAACAGTAGAGGCATTTTTAAGCACAGTAAACTAAAAGACTTAATAAGTATAATGTGCACATTCAAAAAACTATTCTACTCTACTATAAATCAACTTATTCCATGTCGTTAAGAGAATACTTTCAAGATGTAAACTCTGCAGAGAATAAAAGTTAAAAGCCAAAATTGTTCTAACAAAGTAAATAGTAAGTAAAAATTGGACTTGAAATATTACCTTACCATAACTTTCCATTCTTAATGTTTTTATAACCAAACACACACATATACACCACAAACCCTAGCATTTAGTATGTGCAAAATTGCTTATCATTTATTTTAGCTTTGGTTAAGTGTTTGTTTAGCCTATAGCAGACACATGATGGAAGTTATACACATGATTACAAATGTAATAATGAGGTAAGTTAAAATGTGACTAGTGCAAAAAGCAAGCATATGTCAAAAGCCAAGCACAGGTATTAAACAAATGCAAAATGAAGCTCTCTCACCAAGGGAGTTGCTGGAATAACAAACCAGAGACGCTCCTTGTAAACATCGCTTGTAAAGTACACATTTTAAGATTAAGGATTCATATAGCCACAAAAAGGTATTCTAACAACACCAAAGTAGTGCATTTATTTTTATCTTTAGAGTTCAGAAACCACTCATTATGTGTCTAACAGTTTGCATATTTTCTTCAGAAGAAATGTAATTAGTGAGACACATTAATTACAAATACTATAGTATAAAAATCCCAGTTCTTTACAAAAAATTATATATTAAAATATTCTATACACTTTAAATTAGTAACTGGAACACAGATATATTTAATTCTGCACACTTCAACCCATCTTTGCTGGGAATATCGTACACAGTTTGAAGACACAGCTACTCAGACAACCTAAACTGCAAGAGATTATGGTGGTATGAGACAAGACAGATTTGTCCTCTTTTAAGCTACTGTAGCTCTTAGTTTGAAATAGCTTTTCTGCAATTATTGCTCTGTATGGACTCATTCCAGATTTGACAGGCATGGAACCATGAAGTTCCTAAAGATTTAAACATTACTGTAGCAGAGTGTTCATAATGTTCATCTGCATCTTTAAGGTTGTAAGGAACCTGAGGTTAGCTGTGTGATGCGTATACTTCCATTGTAAAAAGGTTTATACAATTTCAAGATAAAAACAATGCAAAAATAAAACATCTAGAGCATTTACAAAAGTCTTACAAATGTTCAAAACACTTTTTCAAAACTTGTATCCTGTTAAGGTGCTTTTTTTCTCTCTGCAATAGGAGGACATAAACTTTAATTTTGAATTATGATGGTCTTAATCTCACCCAAATCAAAATTAGATCCATGGAGGTACATGACCCACAGTTACTAGAATCCTCTTGATAACTCTAGGATGACTGAGTTACACAGCGTTTAGAAAAGATGTTGGGTGCACGACCCATCCCCAGGATGGGGATACAAGATTTTAGTGCTAAAGGAGACCTTAAGGTTTATTATATTTTAACTGTTTCCTGTTAATGAGGAACTTAAGGGGTAAATACACAAATATGTTGGCCTGATATAAATAAAAAATATCCATTATTCTTTTTGTATCTTATACTATGGTTTCTTGTTTGTTTTTGCTAGAACCTGAGTTTGAACTCAGGACCTCACTCTTGCTCCGCTGGCACTTTTAACACTTGAACCATGCCTCCAGCCCAGCTTTTTGCTGGTTATTTTGGAGATGGAGTCTCGCAAACATTTCTGCCCAGCCTAGCTTCAGACCACAATCCTCCATATCTCAGCCTCCAAAGTAACTAAGGCTTATAGGCATGAGCCACTGGTGCCCAGTTATATAATGTACCATTTATTTGTATCTTTTCATATATTGTACCATGATTCTTAGAAAATAATAAAAATGCAAAAGCAAAGTTTTTGAACTTGCCTTTCTTTTCAAATTTCTTAAGCTTTGTGCTCACTGAAAATAAAGGAAGGCATCAAGTAGCTTCTAAAATTAGTACTGAAAATATCCAATATAAGATAATGGGTAAAGTACCACCTATAATACAGAATGAAATTACTAGAAGGAGTACTCAAAGACAAGGCATTTACAACGTAGAGAACATTTAAGATAGCAAAGTATACAACAACCAGTTACTAGAATCCTCTTGATAACTCTAGGAAGACTGAGATACACAGCGTTTAGAAAAGATGTTGGGTAATACTGCCTTCTAGCTTTTATCTTAATTTTACTACTTTCCTTTGTAAAAACAACTATAGGGGTAAGGAAAAATCCATATACTAATTTTCAGAGAGCCTTTGCTTCTTTTCTATTTTTATTTGTATCTAGAATTGAACAAATACATTTTAAGAACAACTTACAAACTCAAATACATAACTCCTAGAAATACAGTCAGAGAATACTCTTTTAAGTGACAAAGCTTCAGAACCAATTACTAATAAATAATCGCCATCACAACAGCTTCAGTAAAAGAACAATTCAACTTAAAGATGCTTTCTTATTGTTACCTTGAAGCCATCGAACTTGTGTTGCTGGTCCATAACCCTTTTCATTCTTCGCTGATATCCTGAACACAATGGCTGGCCTGGATGTATAATCAATATGTGCATTTGCCAGTTGTCCAGCAGTTACTGTACATGATGTTTTAAGACCACAATAAATCCTCATAAACACAAGTTGACTGGGGTTATCTTGTATCTGTGCTGTGCGGATAGCCAAGTAGGCTGAATATTCTAAAATATTTCCAGAGGGTGAAGTTGGAGGCTCCCAGGAAAGGTGTATTCCTTCAACATTCTAGAAAAGCGAGACAAAATATGAATGTTCTCAAGTTTTCTCTATTATCACTTACTATCTTAAACCTTTCTTTTCACTAATGTAGTTACAATAGATGTTAGATCTCTTATGGCTGACTTTTAAAGAACCTACATTAATTGGATTTATAATATTTAATTCAGGCCCACTTTTGACAAATACAAGGCTTAAATATCTGCTTGTGATATCCCAGAAGAAGACTGTCTTCCCTAAGTACAGACTTCTCCTTTCCCAAGGAAAGGCAAGACTTGGTAAAATAAAATCCCATTTGTGTGCCAAACTAAAATCGAAAAGTCTCCAGATTCAACTTTGAAGTTCCATAACAATAAAAATGAATCCAACAGAGTTTTATGCCTTTCTGAATGCTCTAATTCAGCTTGAAATTTAGAACTCAATAATACCAAGGGTATTTACAGCTGTGAGCTAGTGGCTCACAGCTGTAATCTTAGCTACTCAGGAAGCTGAGATCTGAAAATCCCATTTCAAAGCCAGTCTGGGCAGCAAAGTCTGTGAGACACTTATCTCCAACTAACCAACCACCAGAAAAGGTGCTGTGGCTCAAGTGTAAAGCACTAGCCTTGAGCAAAAGAGCTCAGGGACAGAATCTAGGCCCCAAGTTCAAGCTCTCAGACAGACAAAAAAAAAAAAAAAAACCCACCATGAATGACTAGCCAAAAGAAATTGGTTTTAAATATTTAATCACCACTTTCACTCTTTCAGACATCTCTCATTTTACCAGAGGCGAAGGGGAACTTCTAAACATCATTTGTGTTATGTACAAAACTCACCTTTGAAATCCTCACTGCAGAAGGGGCTCCCGGAAAACCAGGAATACAAGTTTTAAATTCACTAATTTTGCTGAAAGGACCTATTCCACAACCGTTAATTGCAGCAACCCTGAATCTATATCCTGTGCCTGGAACAAGATCTTGTTTCTTAAGCAAACTGTAGTCAGGTACATCTGCATTTCCTACCTAAAATGTAACATATAGCAAAGTCAGAGAAAAGGTACAACACATTTATTATTATTCAAAAATTTAAGCTATTTAATGTTCATCAAACAACACCACCTTTAAATAATGAATTATGTGTTAAGGTTCCAATTCACATTTATGTATTTCTCTTTCTGACACAAGAAATAAGCTCACTAGTGATCCAATTAAGCCTGTAAATCTGAGATTGTTACATAGAAGAAAAGGGCCTTCTCCCATGGAGAATCACTGGTTAGAAAGAGAAATAAGAGGGTCCTTACTGGAACACTGGAGGCTCATGCCTGTAATCCTAGCTCCTTAGGAAGATCAGATCTGAGAATTGTGGTTCAAAACCAACCTAGGCAGGAAAATATGAGAGTCTTTTCTCCAATTAATCATTGGAAAGCTTGAAGTGGAGCAAGTGATTCAGGTGATAGAGTGCTAGCCCTGATTTCAAGCCCCAGTACTGCCATGCATGCATGCATAAAATCAATCAATCAATCAATATTCAGCACATGAAAGGTATTAAAGGTAGACAAAAAAAAAAATCTCCACCACTATTAATGAAGGAATCTATTTCCATGGGACTTAACCTGGAACAGACATTTCAGATTTACTGACAAGTAGTAGTCTGCCCAGGAACAACAACTTTTAGAGACAGGCAAACAAGCTAGATAGAGAAAGAGTGAATGGCATATGATGTAGAGCAGTAGCATGCCTATATTCAGGACACTGGATAAATGTTAAATAATTAAGATTATATACTCTAGGTAGGAAAACCATAAAATTACATCTTTTGAGCCATTTTTACCTAACTCCATAACAGCACCTTCCAAGAGTTTAATCTCTATTCTACATATGAGAAAACTGAGACTCAGAGGGGTTCAACAAGTGACTTCCCCAGTTCAGTCTACTGATAGCTGGAACTAGTGACTGAAACCCAAGTCTACTGCCTCTAAATTCCATGTGCTTTTTTTCTTTTAAGGCCTTTTACATATAGGTATGTCTTCATCAAGAGATAACATTAACAGATTATTCAGAATTTCTGAGTAATTTTGTCAAGAACTAGAAAAACTCAGTTGGAAAGACTTACACCAGAATATTGGAGGAACTAGTATTTAATGATAAGTGATGGGGCTGGGAAGGTGGCTCAGTGGTAGAGTGCTTGCCTTGCATGCATGAGGCCCTAGGTTCGATTCCCCAGCACCACATAAGCAAAAAGAAAAAAAGCCGGAAGTGGCACTGTGGCTCAAGTGATAGAGAGCTAGCCTTGAGCTGAAGAGCTGAGGGACAGCGCCCAGGCCCAGAGTTCAGGCCCCACA